CTACAGGCCACATTCTAAAGGAAAATTTTTTCCGGGTCGATCTGAGACCATTTTTTTTTAGGGGGGTTCAAAAAAAGGCAGTGTATAACCTTCCTTTTTTACCAAAAATCGACTGCACCAAAATTTCTCGGGAAAACACTTTTTCTTATTAATTTTGGTGCGTAGAATCCAAACAATTCGTACTTTTTCGATCAGACTTCTCAATCAAAAGTTATAGACTAGAAACCAATTTCGAAAGAAAATTCAAAGGGCTGTAACTTTTGAACTAGTAGCCCAATCTTGGAACTGTTTGAAATTATGGATTCTACAGGCCACATTCTATAAGAAAATTTTTTTTCCGGGTCGATCTGAGACAATTTTTTTTTCGGGGCTCAAAAAAAGGCAGTGTATAACCTTCCTTTTTTACCAAAAATCGACTACACCAAAATTTCTCGGGAAAACACTTTTTCTTATTAATTTTGGTGCGTAGAATCCAAACAATTCGTACTTTTTCGATCAGACTTCTCAATCAAAAGTTATAGACTAGAAACCAATTTCGAAAAAAAATTCAAAGGGCTGTAACTTTTGAACCAGTAGCCCAATCTTGGAACTGTTTGAAATTATGGATTCTACAGGCCACATTCTATAAGAAAATTTTTTTCCGGGTCGATCTGAGACAATGATAGGCATAGGCGACGCACCTCGTGTGGATTGTATATTGTGTTACTTTTAATTATCAGCTGCAATTTTAAAAAAAAGTGTATGGTAATTTATTTTCGAGTTACCCAGTCCGCCCCTGCCTGTTCTTAAAGAACAATGTAGTTGCAAAACTTAGTCTTCACAAGTATTTTGTCAAATCTGGTTTACTGTATCCTGTGTCAATTACTGACTCTTGTGGTTTCATTTTGTTTTGTATAGCAATAGGGGATACTCTCAAGAAAAATGTCTTCAATGATTTAGGTTATATAGCATTTTTAGAAAAGATATTAATAGTTTACTTATTAACTGTCTCCAATTGTTGTTTCTTTGGTAGGTACTAGCTGATGTCTTCAAACATTTTTTAATCCTCTTCCAGAACCAACAAAATATCGATATTGCAATGTCTATAAGAGTTATCAGAGTGATAATGTTTTTTCTGCCAGACAAACCTGCACTTGTTTCCACCATTCTTCTAACGCGATTTGTGTAATCATAACGTATCAATGGCTGTTAATTTTTGCTTTTGGGGAATTTTATTTTTAATTTAAAGTACTTCATATACATCCATATATATATTTCGTTTCTTAACACCCTGTTTTTTGTGAGTTGGTTACTCGATTTCTGCGTTGTTTTGTGTATGAGGTATGAATTACTTCGAACAGAACAGGTGCCACATATTTTGTTCCATGCTTAGACTGCACAGCCGCTAATTACCACCAAGAACAGATGCTAATCTGGTCCTAGTCCTCTTATTGTTTTGGTTCAACACCCCCATTTCCCCATTTATGGTCTAGGAAAGTGTTACAACTTGCTAAATTTAATACCAAATTTATTCTTTACCTATGAGTCGCATATAGGAGATCAATCATAGATTTACCGCCAAACAGCGCGCTTATCGAAAAGGATTCTTAATTTTTCTAATGACCTACGACACCTACGTTATGCTTATTTATTTCTCGTTTTCCGTCAATTGACTTTTATAATACCACAAATTAATTATAGTTAATCTGTGATAATACCAATGAAATTTAATTTTTTTGCGTAACACAAGGAAGTTGAGGTAACGCTTATGTACCTACTCGATTTTGCGTCGTCTGTCTGTCTGTCTGTTCCATAGATATCTCGGCTCCTGGGGCCACCTAGAGACTTCGGGTTTTCACTAAATGATAGCTCTCTAATAAGTATAAGAATGCCGCGAGGAAATAAAGTGTGGGTGGTCTATTAAAAAATAATTTAAAAAAAACTGAAAAATATAAAGCAAACGCATGTTTACAATTTGTATTTTATTTGTTCACGAATAAATATTTGTTGAAAATAGGCTTTACAAGTTGTTTTGGAATGGTACAATCTGTGTTCAAATTCTTCACAGATTTCTAAAAAAGTTTAGTCTAGTGTATATGTGATATATGTGTTTAAATTTGTGTTCCATTAGTTCTTTCACATTTGTTAGTTGAAGTTCTGTACATTCACTGCTTTTAAAAGGCCTAAATGAAAGAAATCAAGTGAGGTCAAGTGGAAACTAGCCCCCCCCCCCCCCTCTGCCAATTAATTTGCCAGGATACTACCGATTGTAAGCCACAGTTGTTCGAAATTTTGCAAAAAATGCAATTTCTCTTAATGTAGAAGCATGACTGCACTTCAATTTAAGTATTTATTTATTTATTTGTTTGGCCAGACACCATACAGAATGGAAAGCATTCCAATTACATGGCACTGGGATGCTACATAGAAATTGCGATCTAATCTGATTAATTAATTCATTCAAAGTGCCGTGAAATATATCGATGTCTCTCTCACGGTACGTCTTATTGCTTGGCTTGGCTTTGACAACAGATTCCTCGATATAGCAATACTAAAAGAAAAATATGTTTACAACACAGCAGTAACTATCTAAATCGTTGTGAAATGGCGTTGCATTCTCATGCTTTTGCTAATGAGGAGATCGAAGTGAAATATACTCAAACAAATTATTTATTATAAACAAAAAATATACTGATGAAACTAATAAGTATGAAATTTTCTTGTGGACCAGTAAGAGCAGCTCCCTGTAAAATTTGGGTTGACAGTATGAATCAATAGAAAAATTTTTTGTGGCTAGCACCGATACCACCCTACACCCTACCCGCACATCTAATCTAAGAATATATGTAACAAATTTGGTTCCAATCGTTTCAGCTAGTTAGCCCGAAATGAGATTACATTGGGGTAGAACATTAACCCCCACTTTTCCTAAATGCTTTCTTCGGCTGCAAATATCGCAATATCACATGTGTTCGATATTGAAATTTATTCGTTATATATTCCATTACATTTAGTCTAATTACATAAAACCGCAAGGGCACCAAAGACAGAGCGCGGAGGGCTGAGCCAGTTCGTCCGTAATTGTCCTTTCCTTCGCGCATGTTTGTTTGAAGCCCACTTCTAATTCTAAGTAAGTTGTGGTGGGAGAAACGAAGGTAAGCGAGGTAAACGCGGTAAATACGGAAAACGCAATGCTGGGAAAAATTATATTAACAACGGGACGCAACACTTTGAATATAAAAAATGCATATAAATTTATTTGTTTATACTACCAGTTCCTGCTGACTTCCATATTACAAACCAAATGTCGCTGTATTTTCGGAAAGAATATGTTCTTCTTCTCGAATTAAAGCCTTCGGTCACTACTGTGAATTCCAGTTAAATACATTATAGCGCCAACTTGAAAGCAAACCTCTACTTTAGCTATCAGTCATGATCCTTGTAGTCTGTTTTTTTGTGATTCGTTCAGCACCGGACTCTCTCTTTACCATAGGTCAATGTTGGTCTGTAACGTAACGGTCTACAGTTTTTATTGTTGTTCATCCAGTCTTAATTATTCTCAAACTATCAAACTCATTTTTCTGACTGCGTTCACGTAATTTCGTTTTTGGTTTAATACACCACACCCGCGTTTAATTACAATATACATGTTCATTTCAGCAATAGTCAACAGACAATGATTCACAGACAATACAGGCAGCAATCTAATAATGACAGAAATAAATATATATACCTACTGGTACCAGCACGTAAGAAGGCGAGAGCGGGTTATGCACAGATGATCAATGTAGAGTCTGCAGGACAAGATTATTGCCATAAGACTTCAAGGCAAAGATTCAAGATTAATTTCAAAATAAAATACTAAGTATATGGTATCGCCGATTTTGTAATTTTTTTCTCTATCAAATCTCTGAAAAATCCAATATGGCTAACAAAATAAATCTGAATATTGATGTGATTTACTCGAAACCCATAAGCAGGAAATAAAGTATTTAAACAATGCCATAAGTCATAAAAATTTTATTTTAGCACCATCAGAAAGCTGTGCAATTTACACAATTGCCAATTCAGAATTTGTATAATTAAAATACTTAAATTTAACTTAACTTACGTAAATATTTTTTATTAACTCTTTTATTATTTGCTCATTCTGGGAGGGAAGGTGCATCGTATTTTGACTTTTATACAGTATTTGTTAGTTTTCCGTATCATCACGATCAACAAATATATATCCCATTCCTAATTTACGTAGATCTAGCATTGTCGTACATACGCTTGGGAACAACATGCTATAGTAGATAATTTCTGTAGTTAAACAAGTAAATAGTAAAAGTAAACTAAGTTGTTATGAAATCAGCTTTATTGCGTTATGTGCAATGAATAATGCATTAGCTGTCAACAGAATTTGGTTTATTAAGATTTCTTTGAGGTTTTTGAAATTATAATTGCAAATTGATTTATTTTAACCCTTATAATTAACTTTCCCAATATTTCTGCAAATTTTTAATTAAAAGTACCTATCATAGGAAAATATAAGTTGAGTAAGACACCACCATTCTGATTCACGTGTTAGGTATATTCAATTTATATACGCATCAAGATAGAAATAGCACCCATATAATGTAAGAAAATCGAATCAATTGAGAATGTCGCGATCATTTTCTAAAATAGCAGAAACGCTCATTCTTAGCGAACAGAAGAAAGTGAATTTGGTGTTTTATTGATAAAACCTCGTTTGGGGAGATTCTTATCCGTTCTTAATGAGAAATATACCTAAACGTAAACACCACGTTAGCTGATTAGTGATCTTACTTTTTGACGAAATGTAAACGGCGGTTTACTACCGCGACCTCAGAAAATGAGATTGTATCAGGGAAAGTATAACTCATTAGAATAAAAACGGCGGTCTAGAAATATTATTCAAAATTGATCGAAGTTAAAGGCTTAGGGGTTGCATGAAAAGTAAGGAAGGAGAACCATCACGCAACATGTATACTGAATTCTGTGCATTGACTCAATCTGATTCAGTCGCTACCACTCTATCGGGTCACTAATCCCAATCCTAATTCCAAAGAATGAAACATTTTAATTTTCTTTGTTTATTTATCTTCTATACATGTTTCGCGCGCGATGCTCCTTCAGTGACAATTATTAACCAAGGTACAGTTGTTGGGAAAGAAGTCTCCATGATAAGAACTCAAAGAGTACTTGCATATCTGGGAATTCCGTATGCACAAGCCCCAGTTGAAAGATTGCGATTTTCACCACCAGTTGTCGATCCTTTACCAAGTTGGGATAATATCCGCAACGCCACGGAATACGCCCCCGCCTGTTTGCAAGGAGAAAACTCTTTTGGAAAATTGGATTTACCTTTTATGCAGTTAATTTCGGAGCCTCATTATGAAGTTAACGAAGATTGTTTATATTTGAATGTTTTTACGCCATTCGGAGGTAAGTCTTTCATAAAATACGTAAGTACCTATGCAGTGTTACATGATGTAACCAGGACAGGTACATCGAAATCTTTCTAAAATGTGAACTTTGCTTAGATAAGTACCTACTTCTAATGATATCATTTATACCTACTCGTTATTAGCCATGTGTTTGCTCGTTTACGGTTGGCCTGCTGAAGGGATTAATTTTTTACTAGCATCTAAGCAAAATTTCGCAATTCGGGTATTAGCTATGCATGTTATTTATTCCCATATCGCGTGATACGATAAGCGCTACGTATACCTTCAGATCCGGACGTGGCCCGCGCTAAACGCTGACTCTTGTAGCGTGTTTGTAAATCATTACCATCGGCCAACGCAGTAAGAAAGTAAAATTTGTAGTTGGTTTCCCTGAAAGCATAAATCGCGTGTTTGGCTAAGACCTCGAGTACCATACGGCAAAACACGTCATATTTTGGCATTTCGCGATTTATGCGAACATAGACAATGTTGAAATGAGATAACGTAGCTGCAAATTTATTTTGACCAAATAAATATAAAATTTGACGACCTTTTTGGCTTTATTGCGGTGTAAAAATACGTTTCATTTTCAGGACATCCTCCTGCGGAAGGCTATGCAACTATTGTGTGGATACACCCTGGAAATTTTACAAATGGAAATCCAGCTATGTGGAATCCATATACTATTGTTTACAGACAGCGTGTTATAGTTGTAACATTTGCCTATAGACTGAACGTGATGGGCTTCTTTACCAGCAACGATGGGGAAGCACCAGGCAATTACGGAATAATGGATCAGCAAGCGGCACTATTGTGGGTCAAGAACAATATAAAATCATTCAGTGGAGATCCAAATAACATATCTCTTATGGGATACGGCAGTGGAGCAATTAGTATAGGATTACATCTCATCAATCAACAATCCCGAGATCTTTTTACAAAAGCTATCGTTATGAGTGCTAATCTTTTCACTCCAGCAGCTGTAAAATTTCCACACGAAGACAAAGGTTTGATCGATACGCTCATTGCCAACTTTGGATGCTACCCAAAACCAACTTCTGATTTAATGATTTGTTTAAGGGGAGCAAACGCAGAAGCATTAGTTACACTAACTGAGCATATTGATTGGAAACCTTTGATTGATTACGGCGTCAGTAACACCACACCGTTTCTTCCAGAATTACCTAAAAATTTCTTTGAAAGGAACGATTATTACAAAGTACCAATATTAACTGGATTTACAAACATGGAAGAAGTATTAGGCATCGATTATCTTAACTCGGAAAATGTACCGGACGACCAAATAAATGACGATTTTATTCCTGAAGTTTTAAAGGAACTAATTAGTTCGGACTATCCGAATAGTACTGAAACTTGCAGTTATGATCACATCATGGATGCCGTTTTATTTTTTTACGGTCCATCAAAGCCCCTTACCGAAGCCAATCAAGCTAGAAGGGTAATTGCGGATTTTACCACAGAAAAAAATATAGGTTCATCAACATATCAACTGGCAAGTTATCTTAGTAAAGATCAGCCAACTTACGTTTACAGGTTTGATATGAAACCAAGTACCGAAGCAGCTATACCGAATTTTGCGGATTGGATGGAAGTTCCACATTTATACGATTTAATATATGTGTGGGGTATGCCATACTGGGTGCAGTTACCAGACCAGGAATGGGACATTCGTGATAAACGTACGTCTGATATAGTCATGTCTTTTTGGACGGCTTTTGCAAAATCTTCAAATCCAACCGAAAATAACATCTATCCAATACGTTGGGAACCATTCACAAAGCAGCAACCTTATATTCTAATTATAGATAGAAATTTTAGTATGAGCGATGTTACAAGTTTCAATTATAAGCCTTTCGAATTTTGGAACGAGTACTATCCAAAAGTTGTAAGTGTAGCAAGCAAGTGTTGCAACATCACTGACTCTTCCGCTACTATCTATGCGATTTCGTACTCATACTTTATACGTTATCTTCTTTTAGCACTACTTTCACACGTTCTTTTTGCTGTTCAACTTCTTTAAAAGTTGTATGTAGGAACCCAAGAGAGATTAACTATTTTTGACATTACGTACTTATATGAAGTTTAAATCACAGAGAACACCTTCGCAATTTTACCTGGACCAGAATTAAACTATATATGGCGATGTACTAGTTTTTGAAGATTACTGGAATCGTCTCACACATATATTGTGCAGAGATTTGTAATATATGCTTATAACGGGTGTCCCAAAATTAACGCAAGATTTGAATTTGCCGCCATTTGTGCGGTGAAGTGTTGGCAACCCTGAAAAAAAAGCAATTTGACAGCTAACAGTATAGGGTTATTAAAAATTGAGCGTTACACGATAGAACAACGTGTCTTCATTATTAAAGAATATTTCAAAAATAGTGAAAGCTTGGCGGCTGCAGTTCGAAAATTTCATACAAAATATGGTCGGAATAGTGCTTTAACTTCGTCAACTGTGAAGAGATTAATTGAAAAATTCATGGAGACTGGATCCGTTGGAGACGCCAAACACACTGGTCGTCCAAAAACAAGCCGTTCGAATGTGAACACTATTCCGACCATATTTTGTATGAAATTTTCGAACTGCAGCCGCCAAGCTTTCACTATTTTTTAAATATTCTTTAATAATGAAGACACGTTGTTCTATCGTGTAACGCTCCATTTTTAATAACCCTATACTGTTAGCTGTCAAATTGCTTTTTTTTCAGGGTTGCCAACACTTCACCGCACAAATGGCGGCAAATTCAAATCTTGCGTTAATTTTGGGACACCCGTTAGTTCGATGGTTGCCTGTTGCGATTTAGTCCATGCAGTCTGGCGGACTATAATCTCTTTGGTTTTACAACGTAAATTTTGACTGTGATCCCCATATACTCAAATATGACGTAATTTATGGAACGACAAAGATTATCGTCTGCCCCTATAAGAGCCTATAGTCCAGCGTTCCATGCGGATACATTCACAGACTTTAGTAATGATCGTGACAATACCTACCTACCTACCTAATCCAAAAACTAGTAGAAGAACGTTGTGCCATATTGTTCACTGTTAATAAAATATTGTATTACATATATTATATTTATTTATTATGCCTAAAGTATGTTGAATTATAATTCTCATTATATTAAGTATTTTAATAAAACTTCGAATTAATTAGATAAGTGTTTAAATTAACTCGACCTATTTAATATGTTTGCGTGGCCATTTTCAATGGCGGTTTTCACATTCTAAATGGAAAAGGGCAGCGATCTTGTGATCACTAGGTATATTCCGTCAAGATGAACAAGTAAGTATTGAAGAAAAAGTGCGACGTAATTCCGAATACATTTATAGATTCCTTACTGACCTATTATAAGATCTGCGTTCATCAATATAAAAAAGTCTAGAGTGGCGTCACTCAAACTCTCTGAAATTGGAAAATGCAAGAGAAAGAGTAATCCACCGTCTTTTGGGAAAGTGAATTGTGCTAATCATCACGTTTTTTTAACAAACGTCGTATCATTAATTGTCACTTCTTCATGTATAGTTATAAAATGCAATGCGAGGGATTCTTCTACATTTACGTCATAGCTCGAATGTATCACCGAGTAACTGTCATCTCATGCCCGCTGCGTCTGAGCATAGACATATGAGAATACTCATACTCAAAATGGGAATTTATACTTAACTCTGAGGTGCACCACAAAAACATTTTAAAGCACTCCTTTCTCGAAAATAAATTACCATACAGTTTTTTTTTAAATTGCAGCTGATAATTAAAAGTAACAAAATATACAATCCACACGAGGTGCGTCGCCTATCATTGTATTTCGGCACTTTCATGCTACGACAAAAAATGATAAATTCATTGTAAAACACTTCAATTAAAACAGAATTTTTTAACAACCTAACATCAACCCCAATTAGAGAAACGTGTTAATAATTTATTAATAGTGCAAGAAACTAAATACAGCACATACTTATAAATTTCCAACGGGCCATTATGATCTACAGGCCAGGTGGCAATCGCCACCCGCCCCCCCGGGCCAGTGCGCCCCTGGTTATACACTGCCTTTTTTTGAGCCCCGAAAAAAACATTGTCAGATCGCCTCAAACAGTTCCAAGATTGGGCTACTAGTTCAAAAGTTACAGCCCTTTGAATTTTTTTTCGAAATTGGTTTCTAGTCTATAACTTTTGATTGAGAAGTCTGATCGAAAAAGAACGAATTGATTTGGATTCTACGCACCCAAATTAATAAGAAAAAGTGTTTTCCCGAGAAATTTTGGTGCAGTCGATTTTTGGTAAAAAAGGAAGGTTATACACTGCCTTTTTTGAGACCCGAAAAAAAAATTGACTCAGATCGATCCGGAAAAAATTTTCTTATAGAATGTGGCCTGTAGAATCAATAATTTCAAACAGTTCCAAGATTGGGCTACTAGTTCAAAAGTTTCAGCCCTTTGAATTTTTTTTCGAAATTGGTTTCTAGTCTATAACTTTTGATTGAGAAGTCTGATCGAAAAAGTACGAATTGTTTTGGATTCTACGACCCAAAATTAATAAGAAAAAGTGTTTTCCNGTTGCGGGGGGGGAGGGGGGTAGCTCTGAGGTGCACCACAAAAACATTTTAAAGTACTTCTTTCTCGAAAATCAACTACCATACAGTTTTTTTTTTAAATTGCAGCTGATAATTAAAAGTAACAAAATATATATACAATTCACACGAGGTGCGTCGCCTATCATTGTATTTCAGCACTTTCATGCTACGACAAAAAATGATAAATTCATTGTAAAACACTTCAATTAAAACAGAATTTTTTAACAACTTAACATCAACCCCAATTAGAGAAACGTGTTAATAATTTATTAATAGTGCAAGAAACTAAATACAGTACATACTTATAAATTTCCTACGGGCCATTATGATCTACAGGCCAGGTGGCAATCGCCACCTACCCGCCCCCCCGTGCCAGGACGCCTCTGCTGTTATAAGTAAATCACAAAATTCAAAATTCGCAACGATTGAGTATCCATACTGGCATATAGGCAATACATCATACTTAATAATCTGATAAACGCCATCTTTTATTGAATATATAGAATATTAAATCCCAAGTTTACGGTAAGTACGTATGCATTAGCCAATCATGATTTGTGTTTTTCATTTTCGACGTCACATGTTAATGTGTGTCAGCTGTCGTCATCATGATCCTTGACAGTTGACTGGACTGGTTTTTTCTTTTTGATTTGAGTTCTGTACTGTTCGTTAAAGAAGTGGGATACCACTGGTTTCGTGATTATCGATAAAAAAATTAGCAAAAATGGGCAAGGTTTTTGTTATAGGGGTTGGAATGTCCAAGGTTTGTTTACTTTCACCTAATTGTAAATGCCTGTCATTCTTGATTTTTTAAGTTTGTAAAACCTGGAAAAGGTGGCGATTATCCCGATTTTGCTAAAGAAGCCCTCCTCAACGCACTGAAGGATGCCAAAGTGAATTTTGCTGATGTGGAACAAGCATATGCGGGCTACGTTTACGGTATGTCACCAATTCGGTTACTATACTATAATGAATATTATTAGGCGATTCAACATGTGGTCAACGTGCCATATACGAAGTCGGAATGACTGGTTTGCCTATATTTAATGTCAACAATAACTGCTCAACTGGAGCGACTGCGTTATTGTTAGCTAAAGAGGCTGTGGAGTACGGAAAAGCTGATTGTGTGCTTGCTTTAGGTTTTGAAAAAATGGAACGAGGAAGTCTCTCTGCGAAAGTATGTTTTTTTTAACTATTTCACTGTGATAAGTACTTTTGGATAAAATCATGATAATTCAACTCTGGTAACGTCGAGGGTAACGTTATCATGCTAATTCTAATCTGCATACACTTAGCAACCATTACTTATGTATCAGCCAAGAAGCCAACAAATTTTTTTTGTTTTTAAAAACTGAACATCAACTTGTAGGTAGGTGGAAAAACATGGAGATACATTTCTCCTAATGGGGTGACAACGTTTTTAATGAATTACAAAAGCTCCTTTAAAATTATTTAAGTTGTCTTTTGATTTATACATACATTGTAAATTTGTTGGTGAAAATACTTTGCAGTTCCAACAAAATTGTCCAAAAAGTGAGCGTTGAGGCAAAACAAATGTTATGTCTCTTTTTCCAGGAACGTATTGTTGTATTCTTTTAGCACCTGATTGGACTTCCATTGTTCACTCTGTTGCAATTTTGATTAGTAGACTTTTTCTTTTATTTAATATATAGAATACTATTAACAGTGATAAGGTTAGCTTTTTAATTGCCTTATCTCATTCATTGACCTTTCAGAGTGTAATGTCCAAAGGGCTCTATGTACACATACCACTTAAAATAGATTATTCCTACAAAATATAATTCTCGTAAATATTATTTGTTTGGCATTTTGTATCTTTGTCGAACATTAAAAATCTAGTTAAAAATTCATCCATAAATAATTTTGAGCGCCACCCACGAAAGTACAAATATGTATCTGATCGCACAGTGATCTTAATAACTGAAAGATTCGTAGATGTACCAGACAAAACTGTACTGGTACAAGAAAAAAATTAAAATGTTGAAAGAAAATTATATATCTGGTACCATGGTTTCATGATCTGATACCTATAACATACTTATTTGTATTAAAATTTATGACATGGGTTGTGTGCAGTGTGTAATAATGGTAAGCATTTTGAGGGGCTCGAAAGGAAAAAATTCCCCTTAGGTGTGTGATGGTTTTGTCCGTCCATCTGTGTCAAACCTTCCCTAATTGATTTCTATGGGTTCAAGGATCAGTGGTATTGAATATGAGCCCGATTAAGTGTTTCCAAATGTGAGCTATGTGTCAAAAGATTCCCCTACTGAAAATTGTAGGTGATTCTTCGTATCTTATTGTTACTAAATATGAATGAGCATGGGTCTTTTGTCTTGCATCCTTATTATTGTAATACTTCTTTCATTATGTACTGCTACCAGGTCCCAGATTTGCCAAGGGATTTATCACCATATATGCCCATGCTCATTTCCCTTTTCGTTAGGGACCTGTTTGTAAACCACATGAACCCCTCAGGTTTGAGGAAGGAGCAATCTGAGTTCAGCCACTGCTCCGTGTCCGAGAGAATTACTGTATAACTCTTTGGTCTTAGTAAGACAATCCGGATCACCACAACCCCTCTTGCGAGGTCGGACTTGAGTGTTTTCTCCCAGATCCACCCGTACCCAAGGCTGCCTCAATCCCTAGAGGCTGGAAGATATACATCTGCCGCACGGGAGCCTCAGTGTCCTCACTTTTTACCCTGGGTCTTTCTAAAGTTTTTGAACTTCAGGAAAACCCTCTATATTATCACAGAAGGTTCTCCATGGTCCTCGGCTTACACCTTCGAATATGGTCCTTATACTTGCATTGAGCGATCTTGAGATCTTCGCAGTTCACAGGCACCTTAGTTCGCATGGCCCTATTAAAGAGCCTGCGAACCTTCTTACGAACATTTTCAAGATCTGAGTTCCTCGAAAGGTTCACACTGTCCTAATATGACGCTGTTATGGTGTCGCTTACTAATGTGGCCGACTTTTCTACCTGCCCTGCTTTCTGACAGATCAAAGATGGCCCATTCAACCGCTCTGCCAGTTTCGCCGCATAGCAGTCCTAGTAGTCAGTGAATCAGGGATTCCGAAACCTACAGGGTCCACGGTGGGATGCCTAGTTTAGTTGGAAAATAATGTGCCTGTGGTCCGAAAGCGACGGTTCATCAGACGCCCTTTAACTATTGATCATGTGAGCTCTTGAAAAGAAGCCCAAGGTCAAAACAATAACCTCCTGCTTCCGCCTTGGTAAGGGCTGTTCCCTGATTTAAAACATTTAAGTTGGTCTTTTGCAAGTACTCCAGCCCCATATCGATTCTGTTTGACCGTGCAACCAATACTTGAGAAGTTCCTTTCTGAAGACTGCTTATTTTATATGGACAACGGCACATTGGTTGGTGATTCGAACGTGATATTAGAAGAGTTCGGAACTCTAATGGAAAAATGTGAAAAGATTCGCTTTAAAATTAACATATCTAAATGTCAACTGTTTTTCACCTTTGCCAATGATGAACATGTAGCTCAAAGTTTTCAAGAACTATGCTCAGGAACTCAGACCTTATTTAGATCTCATATTATAATGTTGGATTGGATTTGTGGAATGATATTAACCATGAGTTAACTGCCTCAATCACCTCAATGCAACGAAATTGGGGCCAAATCTCATTTACCCCTTCTCATTTACCAACTTCCACAAAGGACTCTCGTCAGTGGCTAATACATCGGCAAAACAGAAAATTCGAAAGTATCTAATATCATTAAACAAAATTATTTTTTCGTTTCTTTTGCTGTGGAGACGATTCTGTGATGGAGCTGTGCAAGAACCACATCTTTTCTTTATCAACAACTTAGTTACATTGCCATACAAAGAGGAAATGCATACTCAGTCATGGGATGAGTTATGACACAGACATTGCAGAAAATTCATCCATTGACAGAAACATCAGTAGCATACAAAACTCAAAAGCAGGAGACCAAATTTGTTGTTGACCCCAAAATTTAGGTAATAATGCGTATACCACTTCCTAGGCACTAGAAGAATATGTGTTCTGTTGTATAGAGTACTCACCCCACAGTCAATTTTAGAGCCCTATTGACTTAAGCGAGCTCTAAAATTATGCGCTCCTAAATACAATTCTCAATAGAGGGGGCTAGATCCAATGTGGTTGGTGTATTACATTAAGCAGATTTTGTATAGACTGATGCTCGGACTGATGGTTTTCAAGATTCCAATTCTGTGCACGGTGAATTATGAATGTTATTTTGCTTTATTTGGTGAATTAAATAAAAGCATTGTAAGGTTTCCGTTTAATTATATATGAATGGAAATGTTTTCAGTACCTTGACAGAAGCAACCCAATGGAAAAGCATATTGGCGTAATGTCCGAAATTGTGGGATTAGAAGCCTCACCAATGGCTGCACAATTATTTGGTAATGCCGGCATTGAGCATATGAAAAAGTATGGAACACGCCTGGACCATTTTGCGAAGATTGCGCACAAAAATCACAAACATTCTGTCAATAATCCGTACGTATAAACCACTGTATATACAGTTGTAAATCTACCATTGATCTTAAAGATATTCACAATTTCGCGATGAATACACCTTAGAGGACATTTTGAAATCAACTCAAATTCATGGTCCGTTAACGAAACTACAATGCTGTCCGACGAGTGACGGAGCAGCGGCTGCCATTTTAGCTTCCGAACACTATGTTCGAACTCATGGTTTGGAAAATCAGGCTGTTGAAATTTTAGGCATGGAAATGTGTACAGATTTTAAAACAACGTTTGACGGAACATCAATAAATTTGGTAAGTTTGCAAATGCATTTTGAGCAAAAGTGATACTATTGCAACACAGGTTGGGTATGATATGACCAGAACTGCTGCCCAACGATTATTCCAGAAGAGCAATCGAAAACCTTCCGATGTGCAAGTAGTTGAACTGCATGATTGTTTTTCGGCTAACGAGTTGATCACATATGAGTCTCTAGGTTTATGTGAGCCTGGCAAGGCTGGAGAAATGATTGACCGTGGTGATAATACTTATGGGGGCAAATATGTAGTTAATCCGAGCGGTGGTTTAATATCAAAGGGTCATCCCCTGGGAGCGACTGGTATCGCGCAATGCGCCGAACTATGCTGGCAACTTCGAGGTGAAGCAGGAAAACGGCAGGTGCCAGGTGCAAACTTGGCATTGCAGCACAATATAGGTTTGGGAGGTGCTGTTGTTGTTGCGCTTTATGCTTTGGGATCTAATAATAAACGACAAATTGGATTGAGAAAAGTTGCAGCGGCAACCAGCGAAATTGGTTTTCAAGTTACTCCATATTTCAAAATCTTGGAACAAGTAATGCTGTTGGATGAGGAGAATATTGTTGACAAATTTAGGGGTACTTATGGATTTAAGGTGAAGAAAAGTAATGAGGAAGAAGGATATTGGCTTATAAATACAAAAACGGGAAAAGGCACTATTGAATTTAATAATACTTCGGGTAATATTCTCGTTTGGCAATGACCACCATATTAAGTTTTGTTTGTTTGTTTAGTGAAACCCGAGGTTACATTTATATTGAGGGATGAAGATGTTGTAGAATTGCTCACTGGAAAAATTAATCCCCAAAAGGCGTTCTTTCAAGGAAAGATTAAATTGCAGGGCAATATGGGCCTCGCGTTAAAATTAACAGAACTTCAGAAGATTGCACTACAGAAACTGGATGTAATTCGTGCTAAGTTGTGATTTTTAGGGATTTTGGGAAACATCTCTATTTACTATTTACTACTCATTGTTTATTTTTATAAAATGAACTGTTTTTTTGTTGGAGGAGATTTGCGGCTACATTTTTATTCCTGTTTATACTTGCTAGTTTTGTAATGTTACATCACATTCTTTTGTAATTGTTAATAAAATAAGGCACTTGTATTTGATTATCTTTTGTAGAATCTTTGGTCAGAGATATTTCTCTTATATTCTTAACGCCATTCTTGCAGAACCTGCTATGTCAAAATTATACAGAAAAGGGCGTTTCACATATTGCAACGTACAACACCGTACTTACTCCCAAGTGCAGCCAATAAAGAAACGTTTGTTGCAGATGTCTCACAAGAGAGTTGGGAAGATGTTTTCTCTAACGATAACGCCGAACAGGCCTTCGACTGTTTTTTCGTCTTTTTCCTACTACTTTAATGTTCATGTTCCGCTAGTTATGAGAGATTCTAAGAAACGATCCAATTCACACCATTGGTTAACTCTGGAACTTTATGTGTTGCAAGAAAATGTCATGAACTTAAAAATATCTGTGCTATCCTATTCTGAAAAATAACTAAAAAATACCATGCATTTAATCAAAAGCAGTTACTTTTATGGAAAAAACGATTTAAAATTATAAAATTCTGCTAATAAAACGAACAATATGGAATCTTATTAATTCACTCAATGGTCGTATCTTGTGGAAGTTATGAAATAGGACAATACGTAATAGATTATTCAAATTAGTCAACCAATTCATTGCCAAACCAATAATATGTTAATCATTAATTTAAATTATCAAACCGGCGATTTCCCCAGTCATTTGAAACCTGCGATTGTAAAGCCCCTGTTCAAAAAAGGAGACCCACGTGACGTTATCAACTATCCAGACCGATTAGCTTGCTTTCAAGTTTCTCCAAAGTTTTTGAATATGTAATTAATAAATCAATTAATGGATTATTTAACATAATTCACCATCATTATATAAGACCCATCAGAATCGATCAACCAGCACCGCTTTTTCTGAGTACCTATATAGCTGAAGCTGTAAGGGCTGTTGATCGCGTGGTTTTCAACGGCCAAAATATGTAATTATGGTATCAGAGGGACTATTATGCAATGGTTGCAATCGTACTTGGAGGATAGATCACGGTTGAATTACCTAACGGGCAACGTGGTGTAGCTACGCCCATTTTATCAGCGGTTCCGCAGGGATCAATACTGGGACCGACCATATTTACACTTTATAGTAATGACCTCATACCACATTTAAAAAGAAGTGATGCCGATATTTTAATTGCATCCTATGCTGATGATACGAATATACAAATTGAGGCAAATAGTGTAGTATATTTAAAACATTTTACTGCCATTTATGAAGCTAAGAAGATATTGAATTAAAAAAAAACATTTCTGCTCTCAATTGACTCATTGACTGGATATTAGGAATAATCGCCGCATTAAGTACTTTGACCGTAGTAATTGAATAAGCACTCTTTTTGATGGCTACGATCAAAGTTTATTCAATGCCCTGGCCTCTATATACTTTTAATACATACAGGGTGGTGACTTGCGTAACGCATCATAGGGATTTCAATGTAAAATTCATAACATGCGATTATTGGCTCCCCAAATTATTAAGGTTTTTTGTAGGAAAAAATTTTTTACGTCAATCAACCCTATTAGTTTTCAATTTTTTGCATAATAAAGACGGAAAATTGGAAAATAAAACCCCCATCTTTTTCAATAATCTGCGATGCCATGGAATTTTTTTAAACAAAAAGATATCCAGTTATCAATTAGCAGCAGTTCGAAATGGCTTTTATGATCGACTTGGTTACTGTATTGCAGTTAATGGTGACTTATTCGAACATTTATTGTAAATTGTTATATTAGGAAACCGTTTTTAGTAATTTGGTCTTTCTTTCTGTTGAATTCGCTGTTCTAATTATAATACTTTTTGATAGAATTTGATTTGTTTTATAGCAGACATTCCATGGCATGACGGATATTGGCGTAGTTTTTGTATTATAAAATTCCATGGCATCACCGACTATTGAAAAAGGTGCGGGTTTTATTTTTCCAATTTTCCGTCTTTATTGTGCAAAAAATTGAAAACTAATACGGTTGATTGACGTAAAAAATTTTTTTCCACAAAAAACCTTAATACATTTTTGCTCTAAAATAATTTGGGGAGCCAATAATCGCATGTTATGAATTTTACATTGAAATCCCTATGATGCGTTACGCAAGTCACCACCCTGTATAGGTACTATATGAATACACTCAGTTTAGTTTTTTTGGATTTGCGTGTTCATTTAATAAACAAATTTTTATCTTATCTATTAAAAAAATGCTTAATACACATTAAACGCAATCTGGAGCAGGTCATAACTCATAAGTCAGTATTTAACTGAGACATCCTTTAGCTTGCGTGGACTGTGTAACAAGGTCAAAATAGTCTTACTCTTTAACCACCTAGTGTCGTTAGTTTTGGAAAATTTCAGAAAATGGGACGAGTATTTGTGGTTGGGGTTGGAATGTCTAAGGTTGGTCCAATTGAAAATGGTCACTATTTAGCATATTATAATTTTTAGTTTGTAAAACCAGGAACAGGTGGTGATTATCCTGATTATGCTAAGGAAGCTCTTTGCAATGCTTTAAAAGACGCAAACGTTACAATTGAACAAATACAGCGTGCGTACGTTGGCTATGTTTATGGTAGGTATGTCATTTATATGCTAGAAGAAAATAGTTTTGAAAATGCATTTATAACAAGTACCTAGATGATAAAGTCCTTTACTTAAAGGTGCTAGTTTTTAGAAAGCTATTGGTAATCTAGGATTTTTGAGCGCAGGCGTTTTATCATGTTCATTTGGGTGAGAGTTGTTTTGGTGCGGGCTGTTTTGGATCTCTTGCGTTATTCCCTTCTTTCAGGAAAAATATTGACACAAATATACTAAGTAAAATATGAGATACCTACATTTTGTTGGATAAATTGTGGGCGCTGCAGTTAACAATAAAGACAAAACACTCGCTTCAAAATGACCCAAAGAGGCTGCTTGTATCTTGAAAAATAATGGTTATAAATAAAACTATTAAAAATGTATCATAGATAAGGTAGAGGTACTTACCAATTTTTTTTATTAGGGGATTCTTGTTGTGGCCAGCGCGTTATTTATGAATCTGGAATGACTGGCATGCCAATTTTCAACGTAAACAATAATTGTTCAACTGGAGCTACAGCACTACTAACAGCCAAAGAAGCCATAGAATTCAATGTCAGTGATTGTGTACTTGCTTTGGGATTTGAAAAAATGGAGAGAGGAGGTTTGAAATTCAAGGTATGTTAGGTAGATACCTACCTCTACACATGTAGACCGAAGATTACCTGCTAGCATTTTATTAAGTGTTTCAATTGACCAAAAGTACATAGTTTACAGCGTCATAGTTGGAAATTCATGTTGTGATTTATTTTGGCAGTATCTGTCTGCAACTGGAACAAAGGAAGTACCAGGAGTTACTAAGGAAAATCTCTTTCAGTATGACATCCGTAAAATGTGGCCCCTTATCTGTTCTGCTTAGTACATTTTTCTAGTCGTCAATTTGTGCATAACTTTTTCTGTGTAACTTTTTGACATTGAGCTTCTGCAAAATGTGTTCACGCTTGAGGAATTGTAGTAGAATGAAAAAGGAAACTTTATAATTTGAACGGTGTAAGTATAAATTATTTTTATAGTTTCACGATAGAAGCATACCGTTAGAAAAGCATACTCGTATAATGTCTGACATTCATGGAGTAACCTCTGCACCTCTTCCTGCTCAATACTTTAGCCATGCCGGTATGGAGCACATGAAGAAATATGGAACTCGATTAGAACATTTTGCGAAAATTGCTTACAAAAACCACAATCATTCTGTAAACAATCCGTAAGTCTGTATCTACGTTGTATTGTAATTTTAAGCGTTCGAATTTGAAGATATGCACAATTTCGTGATAGATATAGCTTAGATGAAATTTTAAAATCTCCTAAAATTTTTGGTTTGTTAACAAAACTGCAATGTTGTCCAACAAGTGATGGTGCAGCAGCTGCAGTTTTAGCTTCTGAGCACTTTGTTCGAAGTCACGGTTTGGAAAGTCGAGCAGTTGAAATTTTGGGAATGGAAATGTGTACCGATCTTCCGTCTTCATTTGATAAGACTTTCATCAATTTAGTAAGTTTTCACTGTAATTTGTCAACAAATGAATTTACCATAACGTAGGTGGGTTTTGATATGACCAGAACAGCTGCCCAACGCACGTTCCGGAAGGCAAACCGAAAACCTTCTGATGTGCAAGTTGTTGAACTTCACGACTGTTTTTCAGTGAACGAGTTACTCACTTACGAGGCTTTAGGCTTGTGTGAACTTGGGAAAGCTGGCGAGATGATAGATCGCGGTGACAACACTTACGGCGGAAAGTACGTAGTGAATCCGAGCGGCGGTTTAATATCGAAGGGCCATCCACTGGGAGCGACAGGTATTGCTCAATGTGCAGAATTATGCTGGCAACTTCGAGGTGAAGCAGAGAATCGACAAGTGCAGGGAGCGAAGTTAGCATTGCAACATAATCTGGGTTTAGGTGGTGCCATTGTTGTTGCCCTTTATGCATTAGGGATGCCTTCGCAAAATAATGACCAAACCAGAAAAGAAGTTACAATGAGAATTGTTGAACGTGGTTTTACAGTAGCGCCGTATTTTAAAATATTGGAACAAGTTATGTTACTGGATGAACAAAACACCATTGACAAATTTAGGGGTATTTATGGGTTTAAAATACAAAAGAGTACTGGCGAAGAGGAATATTGGCTCGTAAACACAAAAACTGGAAAGGGCACTGTTGAATTTAACAATATTTCCGGTAATATTTTATTTTAAACTGTGCACTTTTATTATTAATTTATTTAGTTAAACCTGATGTTACATTCACCTCAAAAGAAGAGGATATTGTAGACTTGCTTACTGGAAAAATGGACGTCCAGCAAGCGTTCTCTCAAGGAAAAATCAAGTTACATGGCAACATAGAGCTCGCTTTAAAATTAACCGAGCTTCGGAAGATCGCACTTCACAAGCTTAATGCAGTTCGTGCAAAATTGTAATTGTACCAGAGTACTGCTTGGGTTGGAGGACACATTTGAGAGGGCAACTTGTTTATTATAATAAATAATATTTATTTTATCAACACTCAATAACAGCATGAGATCAATTTACAATTTGTTCTATTTTTTTAGACGTTTAAGTGATTGAACTACATGAAGTGTAACAAATAATGATATTTTTCTCTTGTGAGATCAGGGGTTGAATAAAAGCACAAAAACCCCCAACCCAGGGCACCTAGACTAGAGTTCTCTTTTATGGTTCTGTTAGTTATAACCTAATCATCTCGAATTATGTAGCATAAAACTTAAAAAGTTGAGGACACTGGCTCCTGGAAACCTTTGAGGTAGGTACCTACCTAACGTACAATGTGGAACAAACATCACAACTCATCAAAGAATCTTTATACAAACGAAAGCGTTTCGACAGCAAAACTGTCAATATCAAAAAACAACTGGTAGATATTGGAGATAAATTCTATTGAGAAAAATGTCGATTTAGGAATTATAAGCGCCAATTTTTTATTACGTACCTATATGTACACATTTGGGTAGAAACAGAGTATAGTTATAATGTACTCTTTGGTAGAAAGTAATGTCACACTTAGGAATTTTAGTAATCGAATAAGCAGATAGAACGGAATATCGAAAGATCCTCAGTATTACCATCATTTTTTTAACCTTGCAAAATACATACCTATTGTCAACAAAAATGCATCAAATTCATTGAGGCATAATGCTCTCGGTCTTTTTCCCAACGATCTTGGTGCATGAAAAACGATTTTGATCGAAATACATGTGGCTTCAGAAGAAGAATTTACAATCTTTGAATCACACACACGCGGTTATCAAATGTGCATGTGATTGATATACCTTTCGCCATCAAGATAATGCGTTTGAAAGCTTTTACAACTCCAAATTCCATTCCAATAATTTTAGGTACATTTTGCTCTAAAACTGTTGACCTAGACCACAGAGAATTTTTACACATCTATGAGTCGTAGTGAATATTCTAGCGATAGTCCGAATTCGATACATGACGGGGAATAAAATATGTAGATTTCCCTGTTCCCGATTCACTCGAAGTTTGTTCCTGTAGAGCCAGCTTCCTGGCCACCCAATACCACCCTATCTTAATGTCCAAAGTGTACCCTCGACACGATAAAAAGGGTTATAGCGCACACGGGCGGACGGATGACAATCAGAGTTGGACTGGGTCAAGAATAGAGTGACCCAGTGACCCGGTGACCCAGTTAGTTTACTGACCCAGTGACCCGGTGACCCAGTTGACCCGGTGACCCAGCTTGACCCGGTGACCCAGCTTGACCCAGTTTGACCCAGTGACCCAGCTTGACCCGGTGACCCAGCTTGACCCGGTGACCCAGTTTGACCCGGTGACCCAGCTTGACCCGGTGACCCAGCTTTACTCAGTGACCCGTCTTGACCCGGTGGCCCACTAATTAAATTATTGTTAGGTATCATCCAAAACAATTTCAAGTAACTTTTAATTTAAAAAAAAACTTCCTCAATAATATTCGGCAACAAGCACGTAGCCCAATTTCATTCAAGAGAACTAATACCTAAAAAAATAAAATGCATTTGTTTATAGTTTGTAGTCAAGTAGTCAATGAAAGTATTTAGAGAAAAGATTTATTTGGATTAAGCTAACTACATAGTAGAAAAAAATTAAATGTGAATGAACACCACTGTAAGCAAACTGGTAAGCCCTGAAGCAAAGAAATAACATTATTGTAATACAATTCGGGACATGGAAAGTTTTTTTACGGCAGTATTAAAGCAAACATCACAGAAATGGCAGTTGTCAAGCAATCGAGTATTATTTTCAACAAACCAGCATTTCATTTATTGCATAATCTGTACACTTGAAACCGAGGGCACTGACTTAACTGCGTTATTCGATCAAACTAGGTGGCTGGGTCGAATTGGGTCCCTGGGTGAAATTGGGTCGCTGGGTCAAACTGGGTCAAACTGGGTCACTGGGTCAAGTTGGGTCACTGGGTCAAACTGGGTCACTGGGTCAAACTGGGTCACTGGGTCTAACTGAAAAGAGTATGACGTGACCCAGCGACCCAGTTTAATTTAGTGACCCAGGTGACCCAGTTGACCCAGTGACCCAGTGACCCAGTCCAACTCTGATGACAATACAAAACTATAAAGGATCTGAGGATCATTCTTAATAATTGAAGAGTTTGGTTGCTCGTTATAGTCATTCCCGAAATATAAAATGTAACAATAAATTCCCATTAGACAACTGTGTTGCATAAAAGACGTTTATTGATTGATAATGCCATTAAATATTAAAATACAATATCTTCTTAAGGTGTTATCTTCGCAGGAAGGAAACGCGGTTTAAAATTGACTAAAATCCTTGATGTTAGTATACCATATCAGTAGCTTAAAAAGGTTTTTTTTATTGATGATTATCCTTCATATTATATCACCTAAAGGTATGTATGAAAGTAATGGTTTTGGCGGTTTGGTTATCCCCAAATTACTAAGAATCACCAAGCTATTTCCTATTTTTAACGTCCTGAAATATTATTCAAGTGAAGTGCGTTATTTATAACTCTTTCTTAGAAGAATTATGTGCAATATCTACTTGCTGACCTACTACTGCTTCCTGAATACAAGTGACATTTTTCATAGGTACCTGAATTCTCATCCTCTACATATAATATCATTATTAAGTAGGGGCAATTGAATTGATAAGATAGTACCTATATAGAACAAATTTGTGACGTGTATAGGTGGACTATTATTGTAGGTATTTAATTCCTTTCAATTTATTTGTTTAATGTGACTAACGCCGTTAAAAATCTCCATGTAGGTACTTACCTATACCTATTTGTTTTTGATTAAGCAAGTACCTACTTAATTCACATACATTGATACTATGGAAATGAAAGATAAGAAAATTGATTCAAAAATAAACAACAAAAAACCCATACCCTTTAGTGATTACTTGCATTATTTACATGTAAAAGGCTCAGCGATTACCTTCATATTTTATCTATACCTATATATTCATTATTCGTGAATATACTCGGTAGGTAACCATTTTAGCATTTGGGTGGGTTTTGTCATCTCTTACTCTGGTAAATATATCTGCCAGTTATAAAGTACCTATATGTTCAAGTTGCTTAAGTATTTATTATTTCTTGTCTAACCCAGAAGTGTGGCTTGCTACTTTCCCAACGAAACCAAATTGAAGTTTCCGGTCTTTCAATTAGAGTGACTAAATCTAATGCTATTACTCCACACGTAAGAAAGTTGATTAATAATAATAATAATTTATACTTTAGTCCGCAAGCTTAGTGAGGTGTATCACTTTAGTAAACGTAGTTTGTCATTAGTGTCTTCATTTTTGTCTAATAGGTATCAATGCGTCCTCTTTAACAACGCAGTGTCTAACAAATTTCACATAAAATACGGTGTACCGCAAGGCTCCATTCTCGGACCCTTGCTGTTTTTAATTTATGTTAATGATCTATCATCTCATTTACCGCCGCAGGCGCAATGTATTTTGTACCTTAGTGAGGCTACACTAATATCGAGTAGGTAATATGTTTTATGATTCGGCTTATGCCAACATTCAAGACGGCACTGATAATACCTTGAAACTGAATCCTGCTAAGACTACTATCTTGCCTTTTTACCTTTAAGAAAAGATAATACCGTCTTTAATGGTGCTAATTTCACTGTTCTAGGCTGTGTGATTGAAAGTAAATTAGACTTTAAATATCACTGTGATAATTTGTCCAAAAAATTGAACACGTCGATATTTTTACTTACTCGGTTCGGTTACGCAACTGCATATTTTGGTATTGTGCATAGTTCTCTCTCATATGCCGTCCTCGCTTGGGGACATAGTTTTCATTTGAAATGCTTGTTCAAAGTAAGAGCGGTTTGGGTTCTGGCATCCTTAGGTTATAGAGACGATTGTCGTTAAGCATTTATCGATCTCAGAATCTTAACACTTCCTTGCATCTATATTTTTGAAGCCCTATGCTGTGCTAAACGAAATATAGGTATCTCTTTACACACAAGTTGACGTACATAATCATCACACAAGAAAAAAAAACAATATCCGTACCGATCTATGCAGATTGTTAAAACATTGAATTTGTTAAAATCACCAGAAGGAGTACAGTACCAATCCAAATATTTATATAATAGATGCCTTCCTTTAGATATAAAGGTTTTAGACTACCCCATATATATGCGGCGTTTGGGAAAGAAAATTCGTGGAAAACGGTGAGGTTTGTGGAAAGAAAACTCAGTGATTTGGCACCACTATCCGGATGATCGAATACATAGAATTCGCGGGAAAAACTGAAGTGTCGTTTTGATGATTGAAGTGGGCTTACTTTAAAACGAGATTTGAATGAACGATAAATATTTTGTTTTTTATTTACTTTTTTGACATAGCAGTCTCTTACATTTATTAGTTTCGTATAGGTTACAAATGATTTTATTGCTGCGCTTATTCGTGTCCTATTGGCTTGTAAGTCCATATACCTGGCCAGAAGTTCGGATGGAAATCTTTTCCAAATGATCTTGTATCTTCATAAATGATGCCACTTGTTTTACTGCAAATAGACAAATTAGACTGAGATCAGTGATATTGCACTGGATTATGAAAAATACTTTTAGGCGTATGTATATATTATATTTATTATTTATTATATGTATATTTGATGGGTCGCTATAGTTTCTCCGCTTGGTAGACTATTTGGTGAAAAAGTTATTGTAAAAGTAGTGGATGTGTGGAGAGGATCGTTCGGTATCCAGTTGTGTTGGATTTTTATTAAGTGTTACACTATGTGATCATTAATTAGAGCTAGGAGTGTATAGAACTGTAGAATGCTACGCCTGTGGAATGTGAATTTGTGTGGATAGTTGAAGCCTCATTGTGATTAATTGAGACGGGCTATAGTGCAGATCCGACCAACGTTGGAAAGTATCCTATCTCGCAGGGTGTACGCTCGGCACAGGGCCAGTATCTATGCCTAGAACATGTGGCCTTGGTCCGGCGTTATGTTTTAAGCCTTCTTTATTTCGCAGGAGTTACGTTTTCGGGTGTAAGTGCTCCATGCCCTAGCCCCATAAAGTTACAAGTATCTAATAAGGGAGCGGTTACCAAAGTGCTTGTGGGAGGGAAGGAAAAATATTAAAATAAGGGCGAGATGTGGAAATCACAAGAAAGGGGAGGGGAAGTGGAGACAAGAAGAAGAAAGAAAATGTAGAAACTGTGGAAAGGAAGAAGAGGATATAGAACACATGCTATGGAATTGCAATGAGGTGGATGGGACAGGGAGAAGCAGGAGTGATGTGCTGGAAGAACGAAGAAGAGGTGAGAAATGGGTGAGGGGGGATACTAAAGAAAACCTTAGGTTTATTTTGTTATTATTTAAATTCTAAAATTTCTCCCATTTTGTCGTCAAATGAAGTTGATTGATCGATAACAGTTACTTTCAGTACCTACAGTTATAAAGTACTGATGGCAGCTCTGCCAACCACTTCCGTTCGCACCTAATGTGCTACACCACTTGGCCCCGCTAACTTTTGATCCGGAACTGATTAGTACTCGTACTTTGCGTTAAGTTTACGATTTAGTTTACGATTTTTTCGTTGTTGAGCCAAAAATGGTCGTTAATTTTTAGAACCTAAATATATTCGCCATTTCACGTTCAAAGATCTTCAGATTTCAAATTTCATAGATTGGAAAACTGTTAAGTTCCGTAGCTTCATACACGATGGTTGAAAAAATTTTGGAACGACTTCAAATCGTTGTGACGAATGGAATATTAATAATTTACATGTAAATTTCTTGTGGATGTACTACATGTTTTTTCCTTGCGATTTTTCGCGTAAAATAGGTATTTTCTTCGAGATCGGTTATTGCAATAGCCACCTAGTGCTAGGAAGCTAAAAATCAGAACTACAGCTGTTATAGTTTGCGATTTTAATGATTGATATGACTGGACTACTTATAGGTTTTGCATTATCTTGCAGATTCAGAAACGAAACTTTAAATTTGTGTATCTAGCTGTACACACTAGTTTTATACTCTACAATCTATATAAATAAAAAAGAATGTTTGTATATGTATCCGTGCGATGACACTTTTGGGAATGGTTAAATGTATGCTCGCGAAGGTTTCTGGTTTAGTAAATTGCGGGAGGTGAGGCGGCGCAGTCGCTGGAACCGAGCTTATCCTCCATCCGGAAGTAGGACATTGACTCATAAGCCTTACGAAAGTTGCTGGGTCTGCTAGTTTTGAATAAAACATGATTTTACATAAGTATGGGCGTTGGCGAGTTATTTTAGAAAAACCTGAACAAGATACGAAGAATCCCATACGCTTTCAGTAGGGGAGTTTTTTTAAACTACTTTTGATCCGGCTCGTATTCATTAAATTAAATTTCCTTTTATTGCCCAACAGAAAAACAAATTCAATAGCACTGATCCTTGAACTCGTAGAAATCGATTGGCGAAGGTTTGACGTCACTCTCTTTTAGTTATCGAGTTAGACGAGGAAACAGACAGACGGACAAAACCATCACATAAAAGGATTGTTTCCGAAAAATTCCCCTAAAAAAAGTCTGGCATTTTCGTTAATTTTTGAGCATAGAAATTTAAACATCGGGAAATAAAATCTTCTACCGGACCTTTTCTAACCATAAAGTACAAATTGGCTGAACTAGATCGCGTAGACTTAGATTCGCTTTGAATATTCATAGTAAACCAGAAAATGTATGTTTACATGTATTTACGCAAAATGATTCATCACATTTCTATAATACGTGTCGTTAAAATGTAATTGAATCGCTTTACCGCCTTTACCCGTCATACCATTACCTTATTTATTATAATAGGTCATTACCTACACAATTTCCGGTCTAATGACTAATATTGATTCGAGATGTCTCTTGTGCAGGTATGATTAGGTATATTTTAATTGATTGTAAGCTGTTTCTCTTAAAATTGTATTATTTATTTAGAGCTCGCTAAAAATGTACACTTAACAAATATCTGTGTAATGGGAACAGTGTACTACACCTGCCTGCTTACGTCGACTTTTAAAATGCGGTCGAGTATATTCAGCTAATTGTTTTTCGACTCTTATGTGGAAAATTTTGAAAATAGCCAGTTGTTTATATTTAAGATACCTAGAAGAAAACCGTTAACTGCCTACTCATTATGCTTAAAGCAAAATAAATATGCGTCAACAAAGTAATGAGTAACTCCCCGCACCTCCACCTCATCCCTTCAGTTAAAATGCAATTGTAAATAAATAGTGTTTTCCTGACCTGTGATGTCACATTCACATGTCTGCCACTAGCGTCCGCTAAAGTGTAGACGTAACGTAACCTTGATTCGGAATTCCTACGCCGAGGTTCCCATATTGTTTACATAATTTGAAAGCCGTTTGCGAATTTAATGCTACGAAATTTTGGATTTCGATAAAAGATATTTTCTAATAGCCAAAAGTCAAGCGGTATCTCTTCGAGAAGTATTGCAAAACGTTTTCGTAGTCATTGTTTACATGGGACTACTTTTTATGTGCGCATGTTGTGAAAGTTGCGATACCCAAACAACAGTTAATGTAGTTCGTGGTCTCATTGCGGGGCGCTACAGTCAGTACTAAACCGTAGTAGAGAAAGGTGGTTTCCAGTTCGTGTTTATTGTTTATGTTTTGATTGTGACCGTTTGTAAATATTGCGAATTTTCAAAGGGTATTGTGTTGAAATGCCTTCCGCTGAAGTGCGTACGATGTCTAACGGCACCGGTGCTAATAATTTCAATCAGTTGCCGATTCGTGGGCCCGAGTTCAACATTAGTACGAAGGACGTTGAAGGTTTAGTAATGGAAATAAAGGAAAATTTAAGGTTGACGGCCTCCTCATTAAAAGCGCCGTGTTGTCACCTATCTAGGAAATCGTCCCGAGCGTCACCATATCGAGTTCCAGGTAGGATCATGTGCTCCTGCGAAAACAATTCCTGCGACATTAATCGCAAAAATAAACGTAAACTTCACGACTCCGCGCAGGACGATCCGTACGAATTTCTCCAGAAACTTCTACGTGATGGAAGTTTAGTAAACGAAGCGGTACGTAGAGTTCAATTGGGCCTCTCACCAAAGCAACGTTATTTTTATGAGTCAGATGAAGACCTCCACAGTCCGGTATTAAAGTTGTGCGTTCAAGAGAACTGATTTCGAATTTGCGTTATGAAGAAAACCTAAATGTTCCTTTGTTCGTTGAATATTTAGTGAGTACGTCTTTTTGTGTTTAGTGTGTCTGCTGCGTGTTTGTGTTTAAATCGAATTTAATCAGATTCCGAACAGTGTCCGAGCCTATTCGTGTATTTATTACTTGTAATTTATCTGTGCTATAAAGATAAAAAAATACGGGGATTGTTCAAGAAGTTGTATTCCTTGGCGGTTTAAATGATAATCTAACGTAGGTTATTCTGTTATTCCTTATCTGTGATTGTACACTTTCTCGTCTCCCAAAACGTACAAATTGCGGAGGAAAAGGGGTGAACGTACTCATTTTGATTAATAAGTCGGTAGGAAATAAATGTACACTTCCGCGACGTGGCACGGGGAAGTTTCTACCGGAATGGTTACGTACAAAGTAACGGTTTTAGAATGTATTTCTTACGTAATTATCGAAAAATGATCTCATTCTGAAAAGCTCACTTTTTATTTCTTTTTTGTTAAGCTTACGTTCACCGCTTTTACAAATTTCGACGGGGTACGAGACTGGTATTAACGCGGCAACAAATTTGAAACTTTTGTGATGATGCTCAGGAATTTCAGATTCCACATTTGCTCGGTCGTTCTCCTTTTCAATTGTTGTCGTGTTTATAATTTTTGTTAAGTAGATGTTAAGGTTTAAGTTTAATGAAAATTAACGCAGGGTCGTTACCGGTAACGTAACGAAAATTGTTTGCGTGTTGGCTGTTTTATTTTCTATGAAATGTTTAGCCAGAAGTGAATTTAAAATTCGTTTTGTTAAAAACTGTTAAGTAAATTAATAAGGCAAAGTACCTACTTGTCTGACATTTTGTAATCTTCCTACTTGGCTGGGTTACTTTTATTATTCTTGTGATATCTTCATTGACGCAATATCATATAATATCGTTAGTTTAGAATGTGATTTTCTACACTTAGTCGCATTTTCATTTTCACATTTTGGGGCCCACAAGGTTCTAAATTCCGTTTTCACTCACCTGCTAGATTTTTTTTATATAATTCGATAGTTTAGATACATTTTATACAATAAGCAAAAAATTGTCAATGTTGTGGCTTTCGCTTTCTTGTGATGGTGACCCTTCGGCTCAAAATTTGTAGGTAAATTGGGGTCACAGCCACACTCGAATTCCATAACGCTGATAAATTATCACTTCGTTAAGACAAGACTATCGATACGATTTGTGTAGCGCAATACTGATCTGTGTTACGTTATGTTAGTTTTTCAATTTGTAAACAAATGTTCAAAGAAATAATTATATCGAATTTCATTAACGTTTTTTGTTCTTATTTTTTTATACTACTTCGCAGGTAATTTGAATATTCAGGTAGGTAATCATGATTTTGCATAACCCACGTGTGCGTGGCCTGGTTTGTGAGAACTGAGAAGACCCACCAAAAAAAGAAACGCTTAGTAAAAAATAATAGAGCGAATTAGTGCGGTGCAGTTCACCTTGTCTTCACAATTTTTCGCGGCGACCAGGAAATTCAAATGTTATTTGTTTGAGTTTGATCTCTGGTATATAATAAAACTACTTCGCAGTACATACTTTTTACGCGTTTTCTTAAAAACGAGGAATGAAAGATACTAACAACGCAAAAAGCGTGATGTTATTAGACAGATTCCGCCCCTTTTTAGCACGGTTCCAAAAATTAAATGCCCATACAAAAACCTCATGGTGGGTGCGTGAAGTATTAAACTATTTTTTGTTGGGTGCATCTTAACTATGGAAACTTGTTTGTTAATTATTATATTTTCGCGTTGATCGTTACCCGAGGGGGAAATCGGAAATTTTGTACACCTAACATCCATTATGTGGGAAAAATCTTTAGATATCCTTAGATTTTCATGGATATCCCTGCCAGCTCAATGGATATATGGTCGAACGTTTTTTGAACCATAGAAAACGTGGAATATCCATCAGTGATTTAAAACAAACCACCGTTCTCATGATTGCGGACAAGATACTCTGTACATGTACTTTGTAAAAATATTTCTTCTTTAAATCGAGAGTGCGAAAAAATTGGATCTCGATGAAATTTAAAAACAGTTTCATTTGCAACTCTTGTTCGGATCTCTCTTTGTGTTTTTCTTTAACTTTCAAAAAGTCGTTTTGTTAATTTCATGTTCAAGGATATGTTATCGAATTTACGATTACGATTTTCCTAGCGATTTTCAGTAGAGGTATTTTTTGTGCACCGGTTGAACCTAATTAAATCAGCTGGCATTCGGAAACACGATCTTTCATCCGGCTCAGATTGAATAGCACTGATCCTTGAACTAGTAGAAATCGATTTTATTGACAGAACTGTCACGTTGTTTAAACAATGACAGCCCTAGATATAAAATGCAGCTGTAAGATGGATCCAATAGTGGCCTCTTAGTTATTTAGATGCACGCCACTGTAAATGATTTTTGAGCATGTAGATTTACTGAAAAATTTGTAATGATTGTTGATACAATAAATTCTTTTGACGTAGGTCTAACAAATCAATAAATTTTCAACGTAAACTAGTGTAATTAAAAAATTAATTAAAACGATTTCCCTTAATTTGAGTTTTTCTCTTAAATTTGATTGTGTAATATAATAAGATTTTTATGCTGTTACATCCAAAAAAGTATACTCTGTAGTAAGTAATGAAAACTGGTAGTTGCCATTCAAAAAATTTGTTGTGGTTAGCACAGATACCACAGCTCTTCCTTTTATGTAAGAATATGTAGGGGCGGACTGGGTAACTGCGGGCCAGGTGGAATTGCATAGGTTACGGGCCATTAAAGTAGTAGTGTAGTAATGATGGTGGCGGGGGGGGGGGCACTGATCGAAAAAGTACGAATTGATTTGGATTCTACGCACCCAAATTAATAAGAAAGTGTTTTCCTGAGAAATTTTGGTGTAGTCGATTTTTGGTAAAAAAGGAAGGTTATACACTGCCTTTTTTTGAGACCCGAAAAAAAAATTGTCTCAGATCGACCCGGAAAAAAAAATTTTCTTATAGAATGTGGCCTGTAGAATCCATAATTTCAAACAGTTCCAAGATTGGGCTACTAGTTCAAAAGTTACAGCCCTTTGAATTTTTTTTCGAAATTGGTTTCTAGTCTATAACTTTTGATTGAGAAGTCTGATCTAAAAAGTACAAATTTATTTGGATTCTACGCACCCAAATTAATAAGAAAAAGTGTTTTCCCGAGAAATTTTGGTGTAGTCGATTTTTGGTAAAAAAGGAAAGTTATACACAGGTGCGAACTGGGTACTTACGGGCCATTAAGCCATTAAAGTATTAGTGTAGTAATGAAGGTGCCGGGGGGGGGGGGGTAGCTCTGAGGTGCACCACAAAAACATTTTAAAGTACTCCTTTCTCGAAAATCAATTACCATACCATACAGTTTTTTTTTAAATTGCAGCTGATAATTAAAAGTAACAAAATATACAATCCACACGAGGTGCGTCGCCTATCATTGTATTACAGCACTTTCATGCTACGACAAAAAATGATAAATTCATTGTAAAACACTTCAATTAAAACAGAATTTTTTAACAACTTAACATCAACCCCAATTAGAGAAACGTGTTAACAATTTATTAATAGTGTAAGAAACTAAATAGAGCACATACTTATAAATTTCCAACGGGCCATTATGATCTACAGGCTGCACCCATTCAAACGCGTCACCAAAAAGTCTTTAATAGATATTTGTTTTTACAGCGTCTTATGGTACGACATGAAGGCTCCTTAATGGACACTCGTCTAATCTTGTTTGTCTTTAAGTTTGTAATTGTATATTTATATTGTAGTATTGTGTATATTCCTTCTTCCTTCTCACACGACGGCTCTCCAAATTACATACGAAATTGAGATTAGTGAAGGGGAACTTACGGCCCTCGAGAGGCACAACGTAGGTATACAAAGATCCTGAGAGTCTTTGAAAAGTTCTACCTTCAAAAACTACGGACACGTGTGATTCAAAATAATTAGACACCCAACATAAAGAGGTATGGAGTGAAGCGAGTTGAAACGTAAAAGAGATTCGAAAACCTTGAGAGACTTTGGAAACTTTAAAATTCAGATTTTACTTAACCTTCTGCTCCAGGTCAATCGTTCCTCAAACCAAAAAATACGATCTACGTGCGCAGGTCTGCACTTACTTCTTGCTAAAAATGATAACTGATTAAAGCATTTTTACTTTGTTATAGATTCACTGGGTCTAGGTACTTTGATGTGAATGACCTCGGCCTTTCTAGTCAATTTTAAATTATTGGGCTTTTCAATTTTGGTGACTGAAGATTAGAAGGTCGCGCCGGTTCTGAACCTGTTATCGCTTCACCTATTATTTGCTGCGCAGTAGTTGCCGAAAGTTTAAGCGGGGTGCTATATCTGTAGTGTTCTTCCAATGGTAAAAGGGGTGAGTGGTATTGGTACTTCCCTTGGAGAAACTGAACCAACAGGGCTGAGGGTGAGTTTTTAATATATGATCGTATCGCTGTTAGTCATTTCTAGTGTATTACAATTTGGATTTTGAGATATCAGATAAGGTGACTTGCCTGCAAGTAGAAAATGCGCTCTGGGAAAAGTTTGCCTATATTACAAGTTTAAATGTAGGTTAACTGTTCCCTATTAATCGACTCATTAGCAAGGTCGTCGACCTACTTAAGAGGCCGAGGTGCCTGAGCACCTCCAACCGCAACATTGGGAGGGTGAGCACCCCCACTCCCAATGGTTAGAGAAAATGTGTACATTTTGCTAGTATTTACTGCATTCTAAAGGGAATCTGACATAAGATATGGAAGTAATAATAATTATAATAAGAATTTGAGCATTAATAAATACAGTTAAAAAAAGTGGTACCCAAAGGGCAAAGTTCACGAAGAAACTTCCAAAAAAGAATTTCTTAACTTGTAATATTCAGTGGAAAATGAACCTTCGACAATATCTAATCTATGTTTAGGTCTAGAAATTAAATGGCCCCTTCGAATATTATTGTTAGGGACATCCATATTTCTAAATTATTAAATACTATTTTTTGGTAGACTTATTATGCCCCAAATCATTGATTACAAATATGAAATAGTGTTTTTATTCCAGGGTCAAATAACTAACGTTTCCACTTCATCCGGTAAAGATGACAGTAATTACTGAGGGCTTTGTCGCAGTCGGCTTGCAATTCATCACAATCAGCTGTTGAGCTTACAGACTGAAATAGGGAGTTTTCGTATTTCTCGAGTTATGTCATTGACAAAAAATAAAAATTACAATGGTCCCATTAATGGTGGAAACAGCATCCAGAGATCCGTGGGCGCTGAAAAGTATGCTTTAGCGCTTTAGGCGATAGAGCTACGTTACCAATTACCCGCCCTCTGACCGCTAATTACTAAGTTGTGGAAATAAACATTTTGTCGCTTCTTTATTTTTTTCTAAATGGATGTCTCCAAGGCCGGATTTAATTACGCCCGTAATTAATTAATGGGTAGGTACTTTTGTGAGAAATATTGAATAACCTAAAAACTACGGGGTTTACACACAGTACGTGCCTTATAAAAAAGGTCGTCTGACATACATTCAAAATCTACGGTATATAATGCAAGAAGAATCAAGCCCTTACACCTTCGTCCAACATTTTCGAGATATTCACAATTAAATTTATTGTGAATAGATGAAAAAGGTTCCGATAGGAATCGATAGCTCTGGTAGCTGGTTCGCGAGCTAAACCTTTTGTTGTATATGTACATATATTCATTTACACAGAACCTTACAGAGTTACAGGTACTATTTATTTCACAAATATATACATTATTTACAACACCCTTTAATACAAATTGAGCACTACTAACGTTTTGAGTCGACCTACTTCGATTGTAGGCGGAATGTGACTAACTTGAGAAGTTAAAAATGGACTAATTAACACCCTAAAACTAAGAACATTTATTGCACCCGTATGGGCTGCAATACTAGCGCAAAGGACCGCATGCAAGCGGCTCCTTTGTCTAGTCACGTATTATATAACTTAAAAATTAGGGTGACAAGCGAAAACAGAAAGAACAAGGAAGTCATAAAATCGAAGTAAGCATATGAAATTTGTAAAGCCGCACGAAGCGTGTGAGAGACTGAAAAAGAGAAAATTCTAACAGTTCTGAAACAAAAAAAATAAATGGAACTTATTCTAACTTAATAAAAATACTTATAAATTAACAATAGGTATAAAAACCGGCGGCGTCTAAATTGACAACAAAATTTTCACATCGTCAGTAGATGCGTCTCGTCTAGACGATCTTTCCGCCCTTTGAAGAGTATCCTCTTTCGACACTCCTGTTCTTGAGATATAAGGAATTATATCCGATCACGATATGGCCGAGGAGGAGGAATATGGATATATTTTTTGCGAGATATGAGCTAAGGCCCTATATAATTATTTGCAACTCTTCTCTGTTAAGCTGAAATTATCATAAGTGTGCATTTTTAATTTGAAAAAATTTAAATTGATTTGGCAACCGTGCGCTCCTTGGAAGGATGCGCCCCTAGGCCCAGGCCTAGTGGTAAATCCAACCCTAGATGTCTCGCTAAATTGATATCAACTTGGAGAGGCACGACCAGAAAAAAATAATAATATTGCAAAGTAACCTTAAACTTTCCCTTTTTGCCGCTAAGTATTTGTGCAAAGAGAAATTGTGCCGCTTTTTAATTTATTAAGTGGATGTCTCGCTAAGTTAATGTTAACTATATTTTGCATTAAAATAAATCTACGAGTTATATTTTCAATATTCCTGGGTTGCAACGGCATCCCTTGATTTCTCTCTGAGGACCATGCACCTCCTCGTAGAAGATATGTTTCCCAATATTCCTTCATACATAATTCAATGTAAGCTCGCTAAATTTCCAAGAAATCTCGTCAAGGGTAAATTTTTGTCCATTAAGAACAATCACCCGAAGAAAGCTCGCTCTTACCAACCAAGCCAAGGAGGTTATCCCGGTCCCGGGTGTGTTTCAATCCGTTGTTGACTCATGTGGGGGAGGCTCCAAGAGACACCGGCGCCATATGACATTCCTCCTCTATGGGCTGGAGGACTAAGGAAGTTCGTGAAATGAAATATATAATATTTTTTCCAATTTTTTTACACCGAACTCTCTCTAACAGTGCCAGATTTAATGGAATTTATTTTCCGCCGTTTTATTTCATCCTCGGTTATGCAGAACTACTGATTCCAATACAAGGGAATTTGCTCAACCTGCCCTACCGTATTTTTAAATATTACGGCACTTAAATGCCCATCACTTGACGTGTTCAACATTTTGGTTAAATTTGGTGGCAAAATTTGTTTTGTGTGGGGTACGGAGGGTAGTCAGTATGGTATAGGCACAGTATGACCATCCAAATCTAGCTGAATCTGCCACGTAAGACTACAACCGGTGGGAAAATTGGAAAATGCTCCAAACGATCTGCAAAAAACGTTTTTTCCATGTTAATACCCTATGTTCGGTTTTGGAATATTCACCCGGTATAGTATGATGATAACAGTAGATAATTATAAAATGCGGCATTCATCTGTAGACAGAACTTTTTCAAGTACATATGTTTCATGTTGAAACAAAAACCTACGTAATGTTAGTGCTTCAACTAACACTAGAGCAGGTTGCTACTTGCAGAGGGTCTGGGTATGGGATGAGAATCCAATTCCTTCGGACGGGGGTGTTTACCAAAGCTGACTTATAGGAACAATTGTAAGTTGCCTATTGTCGCACTTCAGGATTTCCGTTTCTCCTTGTGCATTAGATACGTTTATTTTGTCGTATGTGCCATTATGGGTACCGAATGAGTACATGATAGTAAAAAACATGCCCAGCTTCAAAAATTGTCCCACATCTGTCCGCTCTTCTGTGGGTAATTCCATAGGATAATTCGCTTCAGAAATGTTCTAGCATTTGAAACTTTATACACTGTTCTGTTACTGGCACCCTAAAGGTGTATGTAAGCCAAGGTCGGAAAATTAAACTTGTATCTATTCATTTGACGTCATCATTAATAGTATAGGTAAGATATTAAGTAAACACTCAGCATTATCATAGGAAACAATTTGTCAAAGGCCAATATTTATCATTGCTTATTCAATAAGTACTGTGGCATTTTAAAAATATGTATAGCAGTAGGTACCATAGCGTTTGTACCGCATTTCCCACAGTAAATCTTATGACGACACTACACAAAACCAAAATGTAGATTATAGCTATTGGAATTTTCCAGGCCTTTTTATCATCCCACGGTGCAACAATTGGAGGAACGTGACTGAGAGACTGTGAGAATTTACTTTTTGTATGTAGATGCCTTCACATTATTCACACAAAAAATACGTGTAGCAAATTGTGAACACCAATCGGTTATTTTATGTCTGAAAAGGATAAAAAAATAGGTACCTACTTCTTATCGTCGGTATTTGTGTACCAAAAATGGTGCTTCAATGTTGGATAATATTTTTGACTACTTTTGTTTATATTCAAGGTTTTTACGCCTTATCTGTTAGATAACTTAATTGTTACATCCTTAAAAGTTACAAAACCATTCGCATTCGGCAGTTTTCCATGTAATATAGGACGTCGGTTAGTTTATTTTGAAACACACTTTGATGTGAATGGATATAAGTATTAATGAACCAGCTTGTGTAAACTGGAAGTAAATTTTCTGAATAAACCATTACCACATCATTAAAAAATGGCCTTTCCTTAAGGCGCATTGTCAAAAAAAACTTACGGAAGTGTCAAAAACAGCAAACTGGCTTTTCCTTCCTCTGCTTTGTTCACTGTAATTCGGTTAAATCAGTATTTAGAAATTTTCGTTTTTTCGTTTGTTGGGGTCAATTATGTCAATTGATTATACTATGATGTCAATGTAGAGGACAAGGTCAATCCAAGCGCGTCAATATTTTGAGTGCAAAGTGAAAATTTCAACGTAAATATTTCGATAAAACGACTACGAAATGAACATGCATATAACGGCGGTTTCACGGTAGTCTTGTTTATCGTTTATATCAGCTACCTATGTCGAAAAGAATTAAGCAAAACAAAAACACGTACGAAAATAGGTCCGTTCCTGACAAACAAAATCTATAAGTAAATGTTCATGCTTTTGGCTGAAATCCACAGAGAATCGATGTGAAACATATCTGTTTACTTCACAAAAGTAATCATGTTTATTTATTATAAATTAGTAGTAGTTCCTTGCACTGTAACTTTTAGTTATAAATAGTTGGTCAATGCAAAATAAAACTCAATCACGGAAATTCATGGGGTTCATACACTTATAACTATTTTAAAACAAGATTGTATACCAATTATACAGGGACTTATGGTATACGTACCAACGGTAAATGCCCTTTCATGTTTTTGCAATGATTTTGCTTAACTTTTTGTATGCGTTGTCATCACGTTGTTTTGCATTGCCGATGTAGGTGTAACATTACGAGAAAG